AATTGCCTTCATAATGTGCAGCGTGTGCACGCGCTTGCCGTTGTTGACGCTGGCGTCGGTCGGGTCCTGCTCGTGCCTGTGCACGCTAAAGTCCTGCGTGGCGAGAAAGCTGTTGGCAGCGCCCTGAATTTTCTTTGTGCGGTGGTGGCGGGAGGCGTCAATGCCTGTGTTGAGTGCCCAGTTGAGCATGCGCACAAGCGTGGCTGCACCGTCCTCCATGCTGAAGTCAGGCAGGATGGCAGGCAGCAGTGATGGAAGAATGGACAGCACAAGCAGCTGCAGCTCCTCATACCTGTGTTGGTGTGCGATTGTGTGTGTGTGTGTGTTGGTGCGCGGTTGAATGTGTGTGAATGTGAGTGAACATTGGTTGTGAATCATTGTTTAAAGCACATGCAAACGCACGCCCACAAAACACGCACGCACGCGCGCGCGCACACACACACACACACACACGCACGCACACGCACACATCAAACACACACACACGCACACGCATGCACAAACACACACACACACACACACACACACACACACACACACACACACACACGCACGCACAAACACATCAAACACCACACGCGCCCACCCTCGTGCCCACACAGCAGCAACGACGTACTGTGAAGCTGTCCAGTTGCGCGGGCGGGGTGCTGCTGTTGTTGGGGCGGCCCCCTCTGTTTTCCTCTTCATTGGCGAGGGCCTATGCTGTGCAGCCAGCGAGAGGTCTGCATCCTGGTCATACTGCATGTACTTGAGGCACAGCGGCACAATGTTGGATGCCTGAATCACCTCGCGCGCGTTTGGATCGCGCAGCAGCGGCACGATGGAGGTGAGGAGGAGCTTCAAGGCCTCAAAGTCCTCATCGCTGTTGTTCAGGCGCAGGGAGCGGCAGTCTGGGTGGCGCGTGGGAACGTCGCCGCAGCACGCAAACCGCAGCATAAACTCAAACGTGTGGCCCGTCTATGGGACATGGGGGTGGTGGTGGGGACGGGGCAGTGTCGAGGTTGGGAAGGGGGACACATGTACAGCAGCATGAGTGCATGCATGCATGCATGAAGCGAGCGGCACACTTATGCGGGCAAACAGGCACACGTACATACATGCACACAAACACACAAACAAACATGCACACATACGCAGCACGGCAGACAGACAGACAGACAGACACACACACACGCACGCACTCAGGAGCGCATACGAACCCATAACACAAACACACACACACACACACACACACACACACAAACCCATAACACACACACACCACAGACACGCACACACACACACACATACAAACAAACAAACACACACGCATCCGCACACACCACGAGGTTGTCGCGAAGAGAGGGCTGTCTGGTGAAGAGGGCAATGAGGGCAATGAGGTCGTTCCTCGCTTGCTTCATTGCCTTTGAATCGCCCCGTTGGAACGCGGCGCGAAGGCCGTCCGTCAGCGCCTGCGTGCACTTGGACGAGTCCAGCAACGCAACCACATCCGCCTTGTCTGGCCCCTCCATGCAGTTCCACAGCATTTCAATGATGAGCAGGCCCTCCTGCGAGTTCACATCGCAGTGCGGGCTCCCCAGGATGAGGCACAGCGTGCGTGGGAGCCCTTCCTTCACCATCTGGTGCTGCTGTGGCGGCAGCGTTGAGCAGCCCCACGCCACAGACAGCAGCCGCCCCTGGGTTTCGTTGTCAAGCTCACACGCGCGCGGCGACCTGCTGCTGCCTTGCACGTGCGGGTGTGAGCGCCGGTGTGATGCTGTTGCTGTGTCTGCGTCGTTGTGCTGTTGTTGTTGCTGTTGCTGGTGCCGCCCTTTGTTGGCGGTGGTGTCGGTTCTGCTGCGCGAGCCACGCCTGCCTGTGTTGTCGTCAGTGCCTGCAAGCATCATCTCGAGCGGGCGGCGGAGGCTGGCAGCAATGCGGCTCTGCTCCACCACGCGAATCTCAACGTCCTGCCACGCGCGAGCAACGCCACCCGCGGAGACGCGGTTGCGCTTTGCCGAGATCTGCGCGGCCACGAGGTGGTCCAGCACGAAGATGGCCGTGGCAAGCACGGTGGACGTCGCGCTGTTGAGGAGGGCGGTGACGGCGGAGACCACGGCTGCCAGGTGCTTCTCCGCCTCGTTCAGGTCACGCTGGTCTGCGAGGTCTGCAAAGTCGATGGGCTTGACCAGCAGCTCGAGCATGTGCACGAGGTGCTGTGCATATGAAGAGGTCGGGTTGGCCTGCGCACGCGCAGCAAGGTCCTCCAACACGAGCGGGAGCGGCTGCAGGTCTTCCACGATGTAGCCGTCAGGGCGGCGCTTCAGGACCTTGCGCAGCGCATGGTCGTGGCGTTCCTCAAGGGCCTGCGAGTGCTTGCCAGTCAGGAGCTTGTACAGCTTGGCCACGTCGTTGGTTGCACCCGTTTGCTGGTCTTGGGTAACAGCCGGCGGCGGGGGCGTCTGTTGTTTCGTGTCTTGCTGCTGTGACGAGTCGGTTGAAACGGCAAAGACCCGCCGCTTCAGGGTTGACGTGCGAGAGGAAGTTGACGAGGAGAGCGGGATGGGAGGTGGCACAGGCATCTTTCGCGTCGAGGCGCCAAGGGAAGCCGCTGTTGTTCCTGCTGTTGCTGTGGTCGCCGATGTTGATTGCGCTCCTGCATCTCGAATCACCGTGTTGGGGTGGGGAAACTGTGGCATTTGCTTCTTCATGCTGGACGCCAACGACTCGCTCTGACTGCGACTGCGCGCGCGCGTGTGTGCGTTATGTGTGTATTTGGTAGGGGAAGAGGGGGATGGGGACGGCAGACATGGTGGACATTCGTTAGACAAGATGGTCATTGACTGACGTTGTGTGTGTTGTTGTTGTGAGCGTCGTGCTGTGCGACATTGACAGGCATGTGCGCTTGCTTGTGTAGGAATGTATAATTGCTTGTTGCTTGTCAAGACACGATGCGATCACTTGGCAGTGTTGAACTCACGTCATTGGAGGTGCGGCGTCCATGATGGGCTGCTGCTCAAAGAGGTGCACACCCGTCGACTGACGCGAGACGGCAAGAGAGAGAGACAGCGGTGAGATGTTGGGACAAGCAACAAGCAAAGCAGCAGAAGAGTTGTTGGAGTTGTTGAGGTGTTTGGCGGCGATTGCTGAATGTTCACGGAAGTCGTTAACAATTTTCAGCGTTTCCAAGGGACGAGAAGCAAAGGAACAGACAGAAGGAACAGCGAGAATGGAGTACACAGGTTGGTGCTCATGTGATGGGCTCATGCGATGCTCAGCTTGCTGTGCGTGCGATTTGATCTGACTGTGCCCTCATCGCTGCGTATATGTGTGTTTGTGTGTGTGTGTGTGTGTGTGCGTTTGCTTTGTCGTGCTTGTTTCACACACAACGTTCAGGCAGTTCATATGAAGGGGACTTCAAGCATGGCCGGTGAGTGAGCGCGAGATGTTGCTCGCTTGGCGTGTTGTTGATGAAGAGGCGTTGCGCTTGCGCTGTGACAAGGTTCACGCTCACACACACGCTTCCACACACACACACACACACACACACACACTCTCTCTCTCTCTCTCTCACACACACACGCTCACACGCTCACACACACCCTCACGCACGCTCACACACACGCTCACACACACCTCACACACAGGATGGAAGGCCATGGCGAATACATTTTGCCCAATGGAACCAAGTACATTGGCCAGATGGTAGACGGAGAGTAAGTCGATGGAATGAATGGCTTGTGTGTGTAGCGTGTGCTTATGTGTTTGTGTGGCTGAGAACCGGCGTCCAATGCTTGCTGATGAAATTGCTTCTGATGGTATTGCTTCAACTGCTGCTGTTGTGGGTCATCATGAGTGCTTCAAGATGCTTGCATGGCTGACATTTTCCATCTGCCGTCCCGTGCACCGCAGGTTTCATGGTGAGGGGACGCTGGTGTTCCCCAACGGTGCACAATACAAGGCAACCTGGGAGCATGGCAGGGCCACCGGCAAGACCGCAGCACGCGTGCGTTGTTTTGTGTGTGTAAGTGTGAGTGGAAGTGTGTGAGTGAGTGTGTGTGTGCGTGTGTGTGTGTGATGTGTGTGTATGTGTGTGTGTAAGAGTGTGTGTAATGTTAGCGTGAGCGGCACCTCTTGTTGATTTGTTTGTTGCTCTGTATCTTGTTTTCCATCCCGAAGCTCACAGCATCCACACCCCCCCCTCTCTCGTCGCTTCCCCTCGTCTCTCGTTTACCCCATACGGGCTCAACCACCGCCAGGGCGACTATTACTTCTCGGACGGCCTCAAGTTTGAGGAGCAGGACTGGGAATACTGCACGGACGATGACAGGCGCTTCTACAGGGAGCTTCTTGATGGACTCAGGCCAGCAGGTATGGTGAAAGGAAGCAAGAAGGAAAGAGAGAGTGGGGGGGATGTTGTGTGGTTGTTGTTTGCAACATAAGCCTGAAGCACGCAGATGTACTGAAACATATTGTCTGTGTGATAACGCACAATCCCTCCCTCTGTGCCTTTGTCCCTGGTTATCCCTGGCTGTCCCTGGCTGTCCCTCATCCGCTCACACACACACACACACACACACACACACACACACACACACACACACACACACACACACACACACACACACACACACACACACACACACACATCAAGGGCCGCTCCCTGCTGGTTGGCGGGCAAAACCCGCGCAGCACGCTCGACAGCATGTGGCTCTTTGACTTCCACGCCCTGTCCTGGGAAAAGGTACACGTTGTGCACGCATGTGTGCTTCGATGTGCACGTGTGCATACATTGTGTTCTCCTCTCCCTGCATTTGCATTCTGCTTGCTTCTGCTGCTGCTGGCTGTGCAGTGCCAAACCTTCACCACCACCACCACCACCACCACCACCACCACCACGAACAGGTGACGTCGTTCAATCCCGGTCCGCTCCCGCGCGCATGCCATGCGGCCGCCGCTGTTGCTGGCGACGTGATCCTGACAGGGGGTGTGTCCGTGACACCGCCCCAATACGACCCGGTCCTCCACACCCGCTGCATGGACATCTGGCGCTATTCTCCGCGCGCAAACGCGTGGCTCAACATCACCGTCGGCGCGCCCTGCCCGTCCCCACGTTACCAGCACGCTGTTGCGTACGACGCAGCTCGCCAGCGCCTGTATGTGCACGGCGGTCTCACCTTGCACCAGGTTCGCGTGCCATCTCCGCCACCTTCGCCGTCGCCGTCGTCGTCGCAGGAAGGGGATGGGCCCACGCCGATGCCCGCCCGCTTCAAGTACGAGCCCAAGTCGTCAACAGAGCTGTGGGAGCTTGATCTCTCCGTGGACCCGCCAAAGTGGGCGCAGGTGTTGCCTGCAAGCACGGCGCAGCCGTCTGCGCGCTTTGACCACGCGGCGGCAATTCTCAACAGCCGCCTGTTCATCTTCTACGGCAAGAAGGACTCGCGCGTGTACCCGGCAGATCTGGTGTGGTCCTTTGATCGCAGCACGCGCCACTGGCACCAGGTGTACATTGGCCAGTCGCACGTGCCGCAGCCGCGCAGTGGCATGACCGTCGTCACCATGGGCGGCGATGCTGATGTTGCGGGCACAAGTAATGGGGTTGGTGGTGATGCAGGCGATCACACCTCCACCCTGAACGATACAGCCGCAGATTCACACACGCACGCCTCCAATGACACGCGAGACAACGCCACGTCACCTCCGCCCACATCAAGCGCAGCGGCGTATGCGTCGCCATCGCTGGCTGCCTCGAGCGAATTCTCCATCTTCTTTGGCGGCGAAACGGAACTGACTGCCGCCCTCGGCAGCGCGTACAAGGACAGCTGGATCTTCACTGTCAACGCAAACAGCGGCTACGCTGAAGCTGCTGGTGCTGGTGCTGGTGCTGGTGCTGGTGCTGGTGGCGATGTGGCAGGGGGAGGCAGTGTTGCCGGGACGTGGACGCAGACGACGAGCGAGCCGTATCCTTCGGATCGCTTCAACCACGCCGGCACTACCATGGTTTCCCGCGCTGCCCTCAACTTCATCCGCACAAGCGGTCTGCCAGGTGCACAGGCAGACGGCGCAGACCCACGCTCACCCCAACAACAACAACAACAACAGCAGCAGCAGCAGCAGCAGCAACGACGCAGTGACCGCAGCCGCACCATGTGTACCACCACCACCAACACTGGCAGCAGGATGGCAGCGGCGGAAAGCATGTCTCACGGCATTGGAAGCGACGGCCTTCGCCTCTCCATTGTTTTTGGCGGCTTCAACCAAGTCAACGGGTTTCTCAACGACCTCTGGGCGCTGGCCTTTGACACGCGCGCGGAGTCCAGCGGCAACAAGCTCGTGTGGACGCACATTGTTCCCAAAGACCAGACCGCACCCACGCCGCGCGCAGGGCACACCATTGTCACGCTGTCGCCCCCAGATGTCGACCAGCAGGTGCTGCTGGTGCACGGCGGGCGAGACTCTGTGTCGCAGTTCTCGCCACTGGAGAGCACACACGCATTTGACACGCTGTCAGAGACGTGGATGCCCGTGAACAACACTGGCGATGTTGTGCGGCGCACGTACCACTCCGCGGTGGCTCTGGGCATCAATGCCATGGTCGTGTTTGGTGGCCAAGGCTTCCGTGACACCGCCACGCCTACAGCACCGTCTCTGCTCTGTTCTCTTCCCACCAAACCCGCACAACACCAAGGCCACAAACATGGACACCAGCACCACCCACACCACGCGCGGGACCAACAACAACATCAACAACAACAACAACAACAACAACAACAAGGAGACATCACATGGAAGACCCGGTTTCCTGTTGGTGCAGGAAACAGTGATGGTGGTGATGGTGGTGATGGTGGTGATGGTGGTGATGGTGGAGTGCAGCAGTGTGAGGAGCATGAGGTGTTGCGATGTACGACTGCACATGGTGAGCCAAGCCCGCTGCCCACGCAATCGTGCATGTGTGAAACAGTAGCCAACAGCCACGTGTACGCTGGCTCCTCCTCCTCCTCCTCGCCCTCGCCCTCCTCCTCCTCCTCGTCGTCGTCGTCGTCGCCACCATTGTTGCCATTGTCGCAAAAGCACGCTCGTCTTCGTCGCGGGAAGCAAAGCGAGCAGAATACGAGTGACACGAACAACACCAGTGCTGATGGCGATGTGTACAATCACGACGACGACGATGATGATGCTGACAGCACGGATGGAGATTTTGCAAACAGCACCAACTACGGGCTGCTGGGCGATGTGCGCGTGTGTGTTCTGCAGGGCGGCGTGTGCGAGTGGTCGCTGCTGCAGTACACGGGTCCACGCGACATTGTCGTCGATCACGTCGTGAAGACGGTGATGTTGGCTGATGGCAGCTACGCACCGCGCCCACGCAGCCACCACTCCGGCCACATGATCGATGCTGCCTGGCACGACAACCCAACCATGCTCGTCTTTGGCGGTGTCGTTGGACCAGAAACCATTCCTAGCACCGCCGCAGGTGCGTGTGTATTTGTATGCTTACAATACTTATAAACTTGTGTTTGCGTTTAGGTTTGCGTTGATATGTGCTTGTGTGTGCTTCTGGCGTTTGCGTTGGCGTTTGCGTTTGCGTTTGCGTTGATGTGTGCTTTTGTGTGCTTCTAAAAAGCTCATTCATGCACGCACACACACACACGCACGAATGCACACTGCTTATGTGTGCTGAACTTGCAGCGTCACTTGAGCTCGCTGCCGACGTGTGGTTCCTGCACATTGACCCCTGCGGCACGTCGACCTGGGAGTACTTTGATGTGTCGCATTCGCCCTACCCTGCACCGCGCTGGTCACACGCGAGCGCGGTTGTGCATGACTCGAAACTCATCGTCAGTGGCGGCTACAGCAACGACCGCGTCCTTGATGACTGCTGGATGCTCGGTGCGTATTCTGTGGCGATGAGACGTGAGGAGAAGAGGGGATGGGAGTGGCGTGCACGGCAGTTTGTATCACTTGCATTGTGTGTGCGTTTGCTGCGTTGTTTGACATGAGTTGAATGCGTGGGGTTGTTCTCGCACACACGACACGACACACACGCACACACACAACACACACACACACAACACACACACAACACACACAACACACACAACACACACAACACACACAACACACAAACACACACAAACCCCTCTCACACACACACATTCCTCTCCCTCTGCTACTTTTGCTCCGTGCAGACCTGACAGCCAAGTCGCCACAGTGGACGCCGCTCGACCTCCACGGCTCAGATGCACTCGTTGTCCGCGCCGGCCACGCGCTGCTGGCAATGGACGTGTTTGTGCAAAGCGAGGGCACAGCCAACATCACGACGGGCGTCGTTGCGCTTGGAGGCACCTCGCTTGACATTCAAACCATCGATGCACAGAGCGTTACTGTCCTCCTTCCAGCCTGCAACCCAGGTTGGTGGGTAGCGGTGACTTGAGAAGTTGGCAATGCGTCGTTGCAATCATCATGGCAGTCAACGCATTGTGATGCTCACTCTGCATGCGTGTGTATTTGTACAATCATTCGGTGTCGTCAGGATACGCTTCGATCAACTTCAAGACGAGCCCGTGCACGCCCTGTGACAAAGGCTACTACTCTCCGCTCAACTCAAACCAGTACGCTGACATGTGTGTGTATGTGTATGTGTATATGTGTGTGTGTGTTGATGATGTGGTAATTTCCTCCTTGTGTGCACTTGCTGATCACTGCTTGCTGACTACCACATCTCAGGTGCCTCGTGTGTCCTCACGGAACAACGACGAATGCAACCGCTTCCACCAGCGCCAAGAACTGCTCCCTCTGTGTCTCTGGTGCGCTCAGAAGTGTGTGTGTGCGCGTTCGCATGCACATGTGCCCTCGGTTGTTGCGAAGGTGCATCGATAGTTGAACCGCGGCTCTGGGTTCTCACTCCTTCTCGTCTTGTTCTCTTCGATCACCCCTCCCTGCCGTGCAATCCCCTCGCCGGTGTTCATTGCAGGGTTCTGCAATGCGGGCTCGTGCCGTGTGCACATGAACGGAGAAATCCTTACACCCGTCTGCTCCTGCGGCACCTGGCTCTCGGAGACATCAGGGTGAGCTGTCGTGTGCACGTTGCAGTCGATGATGTTGTTTGACGTGCGTACATCACCGTGTGCGTCCTTCAAATCTCGCCCCTCCTTCATACATCGTCCCGGCTCTTCCAATTGTCAAGCTAAACCGTTCATTGCTTTTCTTCAACACCCTCTCCTGACACCCTTCCCGACACCCCACTCCCTCCCCCAAAACACCACGAAACTGTTATGGCAGGTGCACGCAGCTGCGCTGGTATTGGCTGCTACTGATTGGCCTCATCTTCCTCGTCATTCTGTGGCGCGTGATCGTTGTCTGCCTCCGCAAGCGATACGTCGAGCCGCTCTCTGAGGTCTCGGACAGTCTGCAGACCGCCATGAACCAGGTCGGTCTTGCGTGGGCGCGCTTGCAGGTGTGAGGGTGTGTTAAAGGGGAAAGAGGCAGGATGTGCGTGTGGTTTGCGTACTGAGTGGCATCGTTTGTGCCGTTCGTACGTGTGCCATCAGTTTGCGTCAACCGAAAGGACACGTTTTTCCCGCCAGCATGCACATGCCGTTGCCCTACTCTGTACCAACAACAACAACAACAACAACAACAACAACAACAACAACAACAACAACAACAACAACAACAACAACAACAACAACAACAACAACAACAACAACAACAACAACAACAACAACAACAACAACAACAACAACAACAACAACAACAACAACAACACCACCACCACCACCACCACCACCACCACCACCACCACCACCACCCACCATCACGACGTCTGCTGTAGGTGCTGAACCTTGCGCGAGCGTGGCAGATACAGCCGGAGGAGATTGAGTTGATCGAACCGATTGACGCCGATGCTCCGGGCGCCTTTGGCGAGGTGACCACAGCGTGCTCGTGATTGCATACTTGGACTATGTTGTGTAGTTGTTGGGAGAGGCGCAGTGTGACACGCAATGTCGTGTTACATGTACGCTTGTGCTCGTTGCTTGTGTTTGTTGTTGTGCTTGTGCTCGGTCGCTCATCTTGTTGTGTTCGTGTGTTGTGCTGTGTGTCAGGTGCATCGCGCGCACTATCACGACCGCGAGGTGGCGGTGAAGAAACTCAAGGTCGGCTTGAGCTTTTTCATTGACGATTGTTGTTCCAGTGCCAACACATGCATGCCATGTACGCACACACACACACACACACACACACACACACACACACACACACACACACACACACACACACACACACACACACACACACACACACACAATCACACATCGATGCATACACATTCATTCACACGCGCCACCACCTGCACTCACAGCTCACATGTACACACACACACACACCTATTCAACTTGCATAACGTCATGGCAGCGGGCTGTGCTCAAGCTGAGTCCGGACAACCTGGACAGTTTCCAGAAGGAAGTGCGCGTGATGCGAAAATTGCGTCATGCAAACATTGTTCTGTTTTACGGCGCCGGCTACGATGACAGCGGTGAGTGTGCCAGGCCAACAGCTCACTCAGCGTGCAAGCGTCAATACGGGTGAAGGGCGTTGTTTGGAGATGTGTGGCATGCGTGGTTTTGTTTGCGGCTCATTGTTGCTCATTTCATCCTCATCATGCAACATGTGCGGCGATGTTTGTGCTGTAAATGCATTTGAAATGCGTTTAATCAGGCTGCCCGTTCCTGGTGACCGAGTACATGGCCCACGGCAGCCTCACCACCGTCCTGCAGGTGAGGGCATGGTGCTCGATGTGTGTATTCGGTATTTATGACGGTGTTGTTCATCCGTGAATTAATGGGAGCACACGCACACAAACACACACACACACGCACACACACACACACACACACACACACACACACACACACACACACACACACACACACACACACACACACACACACACGCGCGCGCGCGCGCGCGCGCACGACTCAACACAAAATAACACAACGCAACACAACACACGCACGCCTGCAGAATTCTTCATTTGCGCTTGATTGGGAGATGAAGCTGCGGTTTGCGGAACACGCTGCCAAAGGCATGGAGTATCTCCACTCGCAGCGCCCGCCCTGCATCCACCGCGACCTCAAGGTCCGTTGCTGTGTTGTGTGCTTTGTGTGCGTGTGTGTGTGTGTGTATGTGTGTGTGTGTGTGTGCTTTTCTGCTCGTGCGTGTGTGCGCGTGAGAGTGTGTCTCTGACCAGGTCCAAATGATGCACTCGTGTTTCCTCTCTTCGTTACAGACGGCCAATCTTCTCGTCACCGACAAATACATTGTCAAAGTGTCAGGTGAGCAACAACAGGTGCATTGTTAGCATTGTTTGCATTGCGAGTTGCAACACACACACACACACACACACTCACATTTCTAACACGCGTCGTGTCTTGTTTCTGCACTGTAGACTTTGGCACGTCGACGCTGCTTGACATTGGCACGACGGGGCGATTTGAATCTGGCGGCACAAGTGGCACCAGCGGCACACGCGGAAAGCGCGGAAAGCGAATGCGATCAAGTCATTCTTTATCAAAGACGTTTGACGAAGAGGCATCACAGCTCATGGTGCGGGCACTGATGACTGTGAGAGGTGGGGGGGGGGGGCGAAGAGGAGTTGATTGTTCAGTGCGCTTGTTTGTGTGCGCTTGTATTTGTTGTAAGTGGTTGTAAGCACTTGTGGAGGTGTTTGTTTGTGTATGTTTTTTTCTTTCTGCCCCGGTGTTCAGTTCGAGCTCACGTACATGTACACGCTGTTAGATTGCGTTTGATCCTGCTGCGGACAACCTGAGTCGTGAAGACAACGCCACAGACGCACACACGCAGCTGCCACAGGTCCGTTGCACGCGTGCATATGTGTGTGTGTGTGTGTGTGCGCGCGCGTGCGGGTGCATGTGTATGGGATGGGATGAAGTTTTGAATGTTTCGCATTGCAACCATCTTTGCGCCCCCGCGACAGCACGCACACGCACAACTTCAGGCACCCACGACACAATGCTACAACTGCTCATGACAATCTTGAACATGGTGTGTTGTGCAGCTGGTGGGCACTCCCGTGTATTTCTCGCCCGAGGTCTGGCGAAGAGGCAGTTTCTCCACCAAATCAGATGTGTTTGCTTTCGGCATCGTCCTCTGGGAAATCATGACCAGGTGTGGTTGTTTGTTTCGTTGTTTGCTGGCTCACTTTTTGTTCCGTGGGAAGCATTCATCTCATGCTCGCGTGCAGTACATATTTTGAGACTGAATTTGCGTTCTCTCGCATGCCCATCACTTGCTGCGCTCTGTTCCCTCATTACTCACGCATGCGTCTTAATTTACTGGTGTGTGTCCGTGCGCAGGGAGACGAATCCCTATCCACATGTGCACGGCCCAAAGTCGCTGCTGAAGAAGGCTGTCATCGAGCGAGGCGCCCGACCACTCGTGAGTGGAACCGATGTATTGCATTTTTGCCACTGGTGTTGAACCGAAGAAACTCAACACACGTTTCCATGCACGCACGCACGCACGCACGCATACGTACACACACGCCACAAACGCATCTGCGCATCTGCACACGTGTACTGTATTTACAAATGATACGTGTACATATTCACAAACGATACCATTTCTTCACACACACACACACACATCAGATTCCGCCCACAATGCCGACGGTTGTAAAGTGTCTGATGGAGGTGTGCTGGGCGACGCACGCCCGCTCCCGACCCGCGTTCAAGGAAATTGTGCGCATCCTTCAGGAACTCATCAACGTGAGTTGTGTGTGTGTGTGTATGTGTGTGTGTGTGTGTGCGTGTGTGTGTGATGGAGAAGATAGGACAAGTCATGAATCACAGAGTCATGGATGCCTCTGTTTCTCTTGCCTTGCTTTTTTTTTTTCACTCACTCACGTCCACCACCGGCACCTCCTCCTCCTCCCAATCCTCCCCCACCTGGGATTCTTTCTGTGCCAGATGGTGGAGGTTTTGGAGAGCACAACGACGACGCCGGCCCGCAGTCGTGTCGGCACATGGCGCAGCGTCCCGTCCTCTGCTCGCGGCGGCAGCTTCATCTTCCGTTCGCGCGCCACCGCCACTGAGCCGTCGAGCGGGCACTCCAGTGGGCGCCACTCCGCCAACATGCTGCGCGGCGGCGACAAGCAGGCACGCTCGCAGTCCACATCGGGGATGAGTCTCTCTGCACGGCTGTCGGCGGCGTTGACACGTGTGCGGCGGGCGGGCACGGACGCATCGCGGGCGGCGCTTGGGCGACGGGGGCGCGTTGCGAGTGTTGTTGAGGAGGACATGGATGACACATCGACGCCGACAACAAGCACTGCAAGCAGCGGTGGTGATGGCAACAGCGGAGGGCCGTGGACACTGGTGATGAGGGGCGGAAGCATCAACATGAACCGCACGGATGCTGGGCGATCACCGCTCCGAGCGAGCAGCGACGTGGCAATCATGCCAGAGGTGCAAGAACACGACGACGACGACGACGACGACGACGACCACTGCGATCATGATGATGTTGTTGTTGATGATGACGATGACTATGACGGAGAAATGTTGGATGAGCACCGACCGCTGATTGCACATCGGTCGCCATAGGATGGAGGGGTTAGTTGAGTTATAGGCGACAGACCAAGCGAATGAATCGTTGCAGCCGTTTAGATGCATTGTTGTGTGTGTGTGTGTGTGTGTGTGTGTGTGTGTGTGTGTGTGTGTGTGTGTTGTGTGTGTGTGTGTTGTGCAGTATGTTTGTGTGAACGAGCTATAGCAAGTTGCCACCTTGTGTTGGCCGTCTGTGTTCATTTATTTGTAACTAATAGACGCGAGAACAATGTAGCCAAACAAAGGGCTGAAGGGCCAAAGGGCAAAACGATCAAGCTTGATGAACGCCACAAACAACGTGGCGCACACACACGCGTGCATCGCACAGGTTGTGTGGTGGTGTGACCGTGAATAACAAAACGATGTGGTGAAGGCAGCAATTTGAACAGCAAGGCTGTTGGAGGAGTGCACAAGCACACGCGCACGTGCGCGGGAGTATGGGATGGGGGTTGTTCGCACGAGTAGACATCGCCTCACAAACGAGATTCCTCATCGTCCATTGGTACGTCGTAAACAACAGCTGATAACTTCTGCTGCTGCTGCTGTTGTTGTTGGTGTTGGTGTTGGTGCTGCTGCTGCTGCTGCTGTTGTTGTTGTTGTTGTTGTTGCTGCGATGCACCCGAGGATCGCTGCTCAACGCACACAAGCACACATGTGCATGTGGGGGATGTGAGTTGGCGAGATATGTTGGGATGGTGGCTAAATGTCATCAGCTCTCCAATACACACACAAACACACACAAACACATTCAGTACACAAGGCTTACCGCAGCGACGAGGAGGGAGAGGAGTTGATTGAATGTCGGCCGAACCGTTGGTGTGCGCGCCCAGCACTTGAGGATCACAGAATAGCTGTTGACGGTGGTGGCGGCCATAATGATGATGCATGTACGTGGTGAGTACGTAAGAGAGTGTGCGTGTGAGAAGGGAATGGGAGTGTGAGTGTTCATGTGTACAACACACACACACACACACACACACACACACACACACACACACACACACACACACACACACACACACACACACACACAGCAGCCACGTACATGTACTGTGGGCATGCGGGTGGCAACGGCAGGTGCTGTTGAATGTTGAGCTGCGCTTCAATGATTGCGGGCACGGCTTGAATGTTCTTGAACGGCGTCTGCACACAGCAGTGTGGCAAATGACACAGCGGGCAGGCATTGGAGTGAATGGTGGTAAGCGGTCACGTGTGATGGCGGATGAGGGTATGTTTGAGTGTGCATTGCAGCTGCATCAAACGTTCATGCCGTTGAGAAGCCGGTGCATGCGGTACCTTGCCGAACATGAATATCTCCCAGAACGTGATGCCGCAACTCCTGTGAAACAGTGCAATAAATTCACAGACAAACAGCTCGAAGTCAAAATCAAAGTGCAGCACGCACATCACAACACACCGACACACCGACACACCGACACACCGACACACCGACACCCACACCCACACACACACACATACACACACACACACACACACAACACACAGAGCGGCTCGAGGTATCGCACCAGACATCGCTGGCGCTGGTCCACTTCAACTGCTCGAGGCTCTCGGGAGCCATCCACCGCAGCGGCAGCGCACTCTCGCTCCCCTGGCAGAGGTAGGGTGTGTGTGTGTGCGTGTATATACATGTGTGTGTGTGAGGACGTGTGTGTGTGTGTGTGTGTGTGCGTGTGTGTAGTGAGGGTGTGCGTGTGTGTAGTGAGGGTGAGTGAGTGAGTGAGTACTATGCTGAGTAATTCGCAGTAGGGCCACCAGAGGAGCAGAAAAGCGAGGGCACAGCGATCGCACCATTCTGTAGTAGTCTGAATCACTGAGGAACCGGGCCATGCCGTAATCGCTGATCTTCACGTCGTGCAGAGAAACGCCGACGAGCACATTGCGGCAGGCAACATCGCGGTGTACGATACTGATGTAGTAGTGTTGAGGGATTTGGGGGGGGGGCAAGGGAGGGAGATGAGGTGAATAAATGCGTGAGTGTGTGAGTGTGTGTGTGTGAGTGTGTGTGTGTGTGTGTGTGTGTGTGTGTGAACGTGTTTGTTGGTGTGAGTGTGTTCATGTGCGCGAGCATGCTTGGTGTGAGTATACGTGTGCGTGTGTGAGGTGCATACATGTCGTGCGGGCGATGCCGAAACCACAGACCACGAAGAGTGAAGGACTGACTTTTGCGACGCGAGGTACGCCATTCCGTCCGAAATGGTGATACACACTTCTAGCAGCTGTTCGACATGCATGGTTGCGGTGCACACATGAGTGCACACGCGAATGCACAATGACGCTTGCCGCTGTAAAGCTTCACGCGCGTGCAACGTCACTCGAACACAAAAGCCCCTGCGCATCAATCGCGTGTGTGTGTGTGTGCGTGTGTGTGTGTGCGTGCGTGTGTGTGTGTGTGTGTGTGCACCCACCTCCTCAGCTGTGGCCATCGCTGATGGGCCTTTGCTCGCCTGTGCCCTAAGATACCTGCAGTAGTGCATGTGCCGCGCGTGTGATCGATTTGTATGTATGTGTGTGTGTGTGTTCACGGTTGCGACGGCAAGCACGTCAGTCATGACAGGATGGGCATGCCTGATCGCGGCAAAGACGCTACTCCCCCCCCCCCTCCCGGCGCGACAATGTCAACTCACGATCTGAGGTTGCCACCGGGCATGTACTCCATGACGAGCATCGGCTGCAGGGCGTCCTTGCAGAACCCGTGCACGCCAACGAGTGCGGGGTGCCTGCAACGGCAGCAGCGGTGACAGTGAAGGTGATGGTGATGGTGATGAATGGGCGTTTGTAAGGGATGGTGAATGGGCGCATGTGAGGGATGGTGTCCGCGAGGAACAAAACCAAGCTGATCGCACATACAACACAACACAACACAACACAACACAAGACACACAGAGTCGCACCCACAACACAAAACACAACACACAACACACACACAACAGGCGCAAAGCGGCTGACCTGAGGAGAGACATGAGCTGCGCTTCAACAACAAACGCGGCGTGTGCATCGGCGTCTTGGGCGGTGGCGGTCAGCGTCTTCACAGCAACTTGCCTGATGAGACGGTATGAACACGTGCATGTTGAGTTGACGACAGTGGTACCGGGAAAGCGGCATGTGACGATGGTGTTGACCACGCGTGCGGTGGTCCTGTGCCCACAGTGGCAATGACGTGTCTCTCTTCGCCTGCCTTGACCACCCTTGCGCACGCTTCGCACCAGCGACAACACCACAACGAAGGTAACCATCAATCACCACAACCACCACAACCACCAGCACCAGCACTCCCAGTCCACGTACGTCACGCTGCCGTGTGCGCGCCAGACGCCGCGGCGAACAGCGCCGAATGTTCCGCGCCCAACCTCCTCCTGCAGCTCAAGACTCGAGCTGGATGTGGTGGAAGAGGTGTGATGAAGTGAGTTGGACAGCACAGAATACGGGTCACACGCGCCAACGAGCGAGCGAACAAACACACACACACACACACACACACACACACACACACACACACACACACACACACACGCACGCACACACACATAACCACACACGCACACACATACGCACACACACACACGCACACACATACACACGCACACACACACACACGCACACACATACACACGCACACACACACGCGCACACACATACACACGCGCACATACACACGCACACGCACGCACGCACACACACGCACGCACACACCCCCCTCACGGCGCACCTTGGGATAAGCTGCAGGGCGGCGTGCTCGTCGTCGCTGTTGAGGTGGCGCAGGACAATGTTTCCCCTTTCAAGCTCCTTCTCAAGCAGTTTCCGTCGGCTCTCCAGGCGACGCAGCTCAAACGCAGCGTGCGATGTCCCGACAGCCGTCCGCCTGATGGTGGTGGTGGTGGTGATGGAGGTGGTTTGAGGTGGTGGTGGATTGAGGAATGGTGTTTGGGAGAACAACAGGGACACACATACACACACACAGGCACAGATACACAGGCACACGCGCGCGCGTATCGAAGAGTGATAACCTGCGGAGGATGATGAGCGCAACAAGAGCGCCGCACACAACAACGACGGCGACGACCACAGCGGCAACCACAACCCCTGATGCGCACCAACAACACCACCAACACGCAAACAAAGTCGTGGCCATGCGTGTACGGCGTGAGTCTGATGGTGAGGCCAGTTGGATGGTTCTGTCTATGCATGTAAAATTGTCTTTGCCAAGGTGCAGCTTCCCGACAGCACTCTTGCCCTCGGAAACAGATGCACATTCGCCCAGAAAGGCTGCCCATCTCACAGATTCACAACCAAGCAGCAACAAACAACGAAACAAGAAAGAGGCGTGGGCAAAGCACCTGCGCTGGGACCGCTTGAGCTTGAGCTTGAGCCAGAATTGTCACCGCCGATCGACGACTCCCAGTCTGCGCACCCAGAGGTGGTGTTGGCATGAGCAGCGTTAAGTGTTGTTTGTCAGCAGATAGCGCCACACACACACATGACACGCAAGACACAAAACCACAGAACGCAAGCTATCACGCACACGTGACGCGCGCGCACACACACACACACACACGCACACGCACACACACACACACACCCTGTGCTGCGGTGTTGACGGACGAGGAAAACATCCAGGTGTCGTCGGTGCAACGGGCAAACTGGTCCGCTGACGCTGTCGTGATGTTACACAGCGATTCCTGCGGAACGCACACACACATACACACACATACACATACCCAAACACACATACACACATGCACATACATACACATACACATACACATACACACAAACACACACACACACACACGCGCGCGCGCGCGCCATGATGGTTGGTGGTGGAGTGGTGAGATGCAAATGGGGGCAATAAGCAGTGCGCATGAGGAAAAGCTTTCTCGTCCCCCGCACGAACAGCAACATTGACACGAGAATTGTGCACGGTCATACGTTGAAGTACATACCCATTGGAGTGACGTGCCGCACGTGACGTCATCGCTTCTGCTCAAGGACCGCAGGACCTGGCATCCACCACATGACGCAATATTCAGACAAGGGTCCTGGCTCCACCCGTCTGCAGTGCACGTCACGCGCACGGGCGAAAGACAGCTGTGCTGGTTGCATGCAAGCAAGCACTGCTCGTTGACGTGGGGCACATCAGAGCACTCGACCGCCGTGAACGCTGTGCAGGTGTATTTTGTGTGTGTGTATGCAATTGTGTCAGTGTATGTGCAAGTGTGTTCATGTGTATGTGTGTGAGTGTACATGTGTGATTTGGGGCGAAATTGCAAGCACGCAAGAGCAGAGCGCTGGTGCCATCAACCAGAACAACCAAACACATGCACTGACATACACACATGCACACACACACACACATGCAAACATACACACGCCGAGGCAAAAACGCACTGCTTGTGACGGTTGGGCAGGGCGGGGGCGGTGTGGCGGAAGCAGTCGTTGGAATTGTGGTTGTGGTGGGTGTCGGCTGTGTTGTCAAAGGAATCGTTGGCACGGTGGGAACAGACATGGACCCTGTTGCAGGCGTGGTGGTCGATGGCTGCACAGATGCCGTGTGGTTGCCAAACACAAAGCCAACAGTGCAGAACCCAGAAGACGCAAACGAGAGGCTGCTGATAAGGGAGAGGGTGAGTTGCACACCGTCATCAAGTATGCTCATCCTGCATTCGTGGTTGTCGTGGTGAAAATGGTGGTGATAATGGTGGTTGTCGTGGTGATAATGGTGGTGGTGGTGGTGATATGCGTGAGTGATGTTCGATGGACGGTGGAGAAGCAAACGGAGAAAACCAAAGGCGACCACCACCCAGATTTGCACACATGTTTGCACACATTGTGCACACACACGCTCAATAACTCACTCACTACCCCCCCCCCACACGCATATATACATTCACACGCTCGCAGCCACACCTGAATGACGATGTTGAGAATGTGCCCTCGGCTGTGGCAATGGAGATGAACGCACCATGACCAATGGGACACATTGTGTTCACAAGCGGAGAACCGATTGGGGTGAGCCGCACACGACCACGGCTCACATCAACGCGCAGGCGCCGCAGACACACAAACGCAGGCCAGACTGCCGCCACAACTGTGCAGTCTGACAGCGGCGTCGTGGCTGCCACGTAGAACGTGCAGTTGTGCTCATCACGGCCACTTGTGCAGTCCACTTGGCTATCGCAGATACGCGTGATGGCGATGCTCTCTGTGCCGTTGTTGCTGTTGCTGTTGCTGTTGTTGGCACCACCCGTGCCATCGTCATCGTCATTGGCCAGCAGCGGGTTGTCGTCGTCGTCGCCATCACTGCTGTCTGGAGAGCACGATGTGGTTGGCGACTGCGGGCACGCTGGCGAGTTGGCAATGCCGTTGTAGCACGTGCAGTTGACGGAAGAGAAGCCCCGATCGTTGGTTTGCAGGTGGCAGGTTGTTGGATTGCCGCTCATGTACAGGGAGCGTGTTTGCACCCACGTGGCATCGTCGACATCGAAGGCCTTCTCCAACGCGCCTGGCTCAACGTGCGTGATGTTGTTGTCCCGCAGGTCGAGATTGGTGATCTGGCGAACAGCGGGCAGCGGCGGCATGGCAGTGAGGCCCGTCTCCACGAGCGTCACGGACGCCAGTGCCACGCATAGAGGCAGCCCGCTCAGGTCGTCCATGGGGGTGCCCCTGGCCGTGAAGAGGAGCATGCAGCAGCTGACCATGTTGTTGGAGTTGTCGCCGAGGTCGTCGGAGACGCGGACAACATTGGACTCGGATATGTCCAGGCTGCGGATGAGCAGCAGCATGTACGAGGGGATGGTGTCGCCAACGTGCGATCCCATTAGTTCGAGGCGCGTCAGCTTCTTCTCCGCACACGACCTCCGCGGCACCATCGCATCAAGCAGCGGCAGGATGCCCGAGATGTTCTTGGCGCGAATGAGAGAGACGGAGAAGGAGTTGAGACTCGGCGCGCGGGGCTCGAGCAGTCGCCGCAGGGCAAGGTCCGCCCAGGTGAAGGTTGGGGAGTCGACCAGGGTGACCTGTCGGCAGTCGTTGGCGCGGAAGGCAGTGATGTTGGGTGTGAAGTAGAAGATGGAGGATGGGATGACGAGGTCATTGCTCCTGAAAAATGTCTCCGCGTAGAACCGCACTCGGGTGACGGTTGGAGGCATCCCGGCGACCAAGTCTGGGGTGCGGACGATCCCAAACAGGTTCGAGCAAGACACCATGACCTGCCCTGGAAAGCTGGTCACTGGATCGCAGGCGCATTTTCCCTGGCAGATGCTGGGCAAGCAGCCGTCAGGGTTGGCATCGGCGAAGCGCCACATGCCGTCGTCGGCGCACTGCAGTTGCACAGCAGTATCGTCCACAGGGCAGCGCACCTCGCAGGTGCCGCCGGGCGTGGTGCTGCTTGTGTTGCATGCTGTCTCAAACGCAGGCACGACAACGGGGCACCTTATTCCATCTGCCGGCATCTGCTGCGCGGATCCACCACCCCATGCAGCCGCAAGCACCAACAGCGCAGCCAGCATCCGCCCACACTGTCGTGGTCGCGGTGTCGTCATCATCATCATCCTCGTCGTCACGACGGTGGTGCGTGCTGTGCGCCGATGATGATGATGATGTGAAACGCGGTGACGAGGTGGGCGATGAAATGATGAGTGTGGCGCGACGAATCATCTCCGCCAACGGATATGAATAGCAAAAACAGTAGTGGGCAACATGGCGCACTGGTTGCGGTTTGTTGTTGAGAGCAGTCGCAGCGAGGGTGGTGGTGTCGCGGTGCGTGTTGGCAGACGATGCCGCCATCCCATCGCTGTCCTGGGCACGCATGGCGACGATGAAGGCGGTCATGCTCCAGAAGGCACCTCCTCGGCATCATCGTCGTTTCGCCCACCTTTGCTGCTGAACATGGGGTAAGATTTTGCGAACCAAGGTGCACGAGTGTGCGTGTGCGTGTGCGTGTGCGTGTGCGTGCGTGTGCGTGTGCGTGTGCGTGTGCGTGTGCGTGTGCGTGTGCGTGTGCGTGTGCGTGTGCGTGTGCGTGTGCGTGTGCGTGTTTGTATGTGCGTGTGCGTGTGCGTGTGCGTGTGCGTGTGCGTGTGCGTGTGCGTGTGCGTGTGCGTGTGCGTGTTTGTATGTGCGTGTGCGTGTGCGTGTTTGTATGTGCGTGTGCGTGTGCGTGTTTGTATGTGCGAGACAGAGAGAGAGACAGAGAGAGAGACAGAGAGAGATAGACACAGAGAGAGGCCAGAGACAGAGAGTGTGGGATATTGTGTATGCATGTGGGATGCACACGCGGTAGCCCATTACAAGTCAACCTTGACCGCACTTCGCTTCTCACGCTTTGGCGCTTGTCCCGGATTGTAATTGGTTGCACAAGGGGATCGCTTGCTGTACAGGACGCTGGTGGAGTGCACACGCTGAAAGAAGTTGGCGACGCAGACGTGTCTCTGTTTGCCGTGTCTCCAAACAAACGCATCATCGCCACCCACCATCACACAACAGCACCTATTGGTGATGGCGATACAGTTCGTGTGCACCTGCACCAGCTGGTTGCTGTGAGGCAGTCTTCGTCTCCGTTGGAGCCACCACGACACACGTGGACAGCCCTCCACATCGCGGCAATTCGTGCTCCGTCAACAACACCAACAGCTGCGTCCTCTGCAGTACACGCCCTGGTTCGTTCACACACATGTGCACGCGATGTGTGGCACGTGATGCGCGATGTGCGGTATCTGTTGTGACATGATGTGTGCATGCGGTCGAATCAACTTGTGCCTCCTTGCAATGGCACGACCGACTTCCCCTCTCATGCATTGTGTGCACTCACCTCCGCCTGCGCATGCCACCACTGTAGGCGTGGTCGCCTGACTCGAGCACGTTGGCTGTTGTGAGCGAGGATACAACGCTGCTGGCCCACATGCACTCCCGTAGCGATGGCACGCCTGTGCTCGAGCGCACATCAACCATCCCCTGCGGCGGACATGATGCGGCCTGGTGCCCAAGCGGGCGCCAGCTGCTGCTCTGGACGTCCAAAGCCATCTTCAGAGTGGACACGGACGCGTCTGAGCCGCCAACAGCGCACGAGGTTGTGTTTGGGCTCGGTGACCGCCGCGTACTACTGGTGCAGCCAGTCGCCCTGCCCACACGTCGTCGTCGTGACCAGCAGTACGTAGACGGCGCGGTGATTGCACTGGACGCCAGTTCAGACGTGTACACGCGCGAGAACGCAAGTTTGGTGGACCACAGCAGCTTGCAGCTCACCACAGCAACAGACTCACTGCAGTCTTTGTCATCTCCGCTGCAGCGTAAGTGTGTGTGTGTGTGTCTGTGTGTGTGTGTGTGTTTGTTTGTTTGTTTATTTGTTTGTTTGTGTGCTTGTTTGTTTGTTTGTGTGTGTGTGCGTGTGGTGTGTGTCTCGCTCTCTCTGTGTCTGAGTCTGTCTCTGCGTATTTCCTGCTTGTCCTGCTTTCTTGTTCATGCTCAAACCCTTCATCCCCCCCCCTGCCCCATCCCACCCCACCCCCACCGCATGTGTGTACAGAGCTGCTATCGCTGCCGCGCCCGCCCGTTGTTGACACGAGTGCCAGCCTTGTCCTCGCATCCCTCCGCCCATCAGGTTGTTGCTATGTTTTTAAGCTGCTGCTGCTGCTGCTGCTGCTTCATGAAATTTGATGTCTGATGTGCACACGCACGCATTGTCATACGAGCTGGTCAAGCACAACAACAACAACAACAACAACAACAACAACAACAACAACAACAACAACAACAACAACAACAACAACAACAACAACAACAACAACAACAACAACAACAACAACAACAACAACAACAACAACACACTCCTGTGTATCGCAGACACACAGTCCTCACTGTGCACATGTGTACGTGTGTGTTTGCTGTCGTAGGCGTTCGTGTTGAGTGCGAGCGTCGGCTGCCAGCGTCGTTCACGCCGTCGTGCAGCACCGTCGCGTTGCCAACAGTGGCAGTGTTCGCATCCAATGCAGCCAGCGATGTTCTTGCATTCCGCACGAGTGGTGACAGTGGTGACAGTGGTGGTGATCGTGATGGTGATCGTGAGGAGGGCTGGACCTTGATTCCCGTGCCATCACAGCAACAAGAACACAAAGGACGACAACATCAGCAGCAGCAGCAGCACCCCGCTGCATATGTGCGGCTGCCGGATCGGTATCGGTGTCACGATGTGGTGCCGGCACATGACAGGCAGCACATCGTCTTCGCTGCATTCGCGCCCCCGGCGGTGGAGGACCTTGTGTTTGTGCGCACGAACGACACCACGCGCGAGGTGAAGGTGTGCTGGACACGCGCGCCAGCAGCAGAATGTTTGACCCAGGCGGCCACTGACGGATGGGATGGAGGAGAGCGTCATCGCAGTGGTGTGGGTGGTGCTCTTGAACAACAACAACAACAACAACAACAACAACAACAACAACAACAGCAGCAGCAGCAGCAGCAGCAGCAGCAAGAAGAGGCGACACAATGTGCCACCAACACAACCACTACGTCCACAACCCCTGTCACCAACACCGCAGCCGCCACCGCCAGCAGCGTGGATGACAGACGTGCACCTGAGGAGCGGCTGCGCGCGGCGCTGGTGGCGATGGCGGTGCGGGAGGAGGCAGACGGCATTGAGCACGAGGGGGCGGCAGAGAAGTGGACACGCGAGATGGCGGCGGCAGCGGCGATGAGGACACGCACCACCCCCGCACAGCAGCGGCAGCTGCTGCAGCGGTGGATGCGGGACACGCAGGACGGCGCCCGTGATGAAGATGAGGGTGATGATGATGATGATGATGTTTGTGGTGGTAGTGAAGGTGTTGGTGTTGGTGATGTTTGTGGTGTTGGTGTTGATGGTGATGGTGATACGCTCCCACCTGTGTCTCTGTTGCTGGGTGGTGGGATTGCAGGAGAAGGGAGGGCGCGTGCAAACATGATCACCGTCGTGCGTGAAGCCGCTGCTGATGGGCGTAACGCTGCGTTGGACCCGGCTGTGCAGAGGGCACGAATTCAGCCGGGGATGGCAGCAGCGGTGGCAGCCACCAACACACCAACAGCATCAGCCACCAATCCCGTGACAACAACTGGCTCCAATACAACTCCAACATTCACAACAGCAACTACCACAGCCACCACAGCCACCACAGCAACGACAGCAACGACCACCACCACAGCAACAAAAGCGACGACCGCCACCACAGCAGCAACAGCAACGCCAGCCGAAATGCCGGCGTGGACGGTGATGGCGGATATGGTGGCTGAGCGTCTGGAGCGGTACGTCGACCAACGGCTGCTGCGGGTCGAGAAGCGAATGCGGGCAATGGAGATGCGCATCATGAACAGGATGGACGAGCTCGAGCACGCCATGGTCCACCGCCGTGGTCCATAGGCCCGCACCAGGCGCCGCTGGCACACATGCACACACGACGACGTTTTGGTTTGTGTGTGTGTGTGTGTGTGTGTGTGTGTGTGTGTGTGTGTGTGTGTGTGTGTGTGTGTGTGTGTGTGTGTGTGTGTGTGTGTGTGTGTGTGTGTGGAGCTAGTCATAGATGCCTTTCTATGCGCTGTCAACCTTGTTGCTGTTCTCTTGCAGTCTTGGGACTGTTTATTTGTACACCACACATTTGTTGAAGGATATGGGATTCGATTATTCAAAACAGCAGAGACAATCCGCATAAACAAGGGCACTGCATTATGAGCAGCACACATCACCACCACTACTACTCCTGCTGTTGTTGTTGTTGTAGTTGTTGGAGGGCTTGATAATAACCTGTCAGTGGTATCAACGTGAGTTCGATGAATGGAGTGTCTCCATGCGCACGGGCAAGAGCACAGGCACACAAGCAACCATCTGCTGACTGACATATTTGCTCATGTACACACACACATCTCCACACACACACACACTCTCTCTCCCTCACACTCAACACACATACACATACACACACTCTCTCCCTCACACTCAACACACATACACATACACACACGCACGCACGACACACACACACACAAACAACACACCCAGTACACACACGATACACACCCACCCACAACTTGGCTCACCTGTGTAGAAGCCTGATTGGTACCATGCCATGAGCATGTTGGCCAACGCCGCTTCCTGTGCATCACCGTCAGGACCACCGCCAGCAAGGGCTGTGGGCGCCGTCACTCCACTTGTCCATGGGGATGGCGCTGCCGCGTTCGCTGTTGCTGTCTGCGCCTCGTCCCCTTCAACCGCTTCAGCTGATGATAGTTTTGCCTTCTTCATTGGCACACCTCCTTCAGCCTCCACGTCGTTCGCACGCTGATGTGTTGATTGTTGAAAAACGCCATCGTCAGAGCTGGTGCCGGCCACAGCATTGCCCGCACCATCACCGCCATCAGCAGCGTCGCCATCAGCAACATCAGCACCATCACCGCCATCAGCACCAGGAGCAGCAGCATCGTCGTCGTCGTCGTCGTCGTCGTCGTCGTCTCTGATCTCGAGGTGCTTTGGAACAGAGAACACGGGCCCGCGCTGAAACGGAGGGAGCAGTGCCGTGAGCGGCTGCTCCTCGCTGTTGCCGTATTCCGTGTACAGCACAGTGCATGTGGTGCCGTCAGCGGAGATGCTGGTGATCTCGGCGTCGTAGATCTCCTCATCCTCCGTCCACACTGCCCTGCACTCATCGCCGACCTTCCATTCTTTTGCCGCTGGTCTGTGCTCCTTCCGCCTCCTGCCTTGTCGCTGCAAGCGTGGCGGATGCGAGAAAGACGAGGGGGAGGGGAGCATGAACAAAACGAGGTGGAGCACCGAATCATGAGCAGGAAAAGCGAGGAGAGTAAGAAGAGGAGGCAGACAAGTGTGCACAGGGCGCGTGCACAAGTGATGCATAAGAAATGCACGAGCCTGAGCGTGTACGCATGCACACGTTCACACACGCACACACACACACACACACACTGATGCTCACTCATGCACACTCATGCACAAACACACACACACCTTTTCCTGCTGCACTTCAAAGGTGTTAATGGCCGCTTGGTAAGCGTTCACCAGCTCGGAGTCGTCCCAGACCTCCTCTTGGTCCCCTTGGCCAACCCGAAACACCTCCTCACCAACTTGGGTGTCCATCGTGTCCATCGACACAACAAGGCAACCAAGCGAAAGCAAGCAAGCAAACAAGCAAGCAAGCAAGCAAACGTTCGCTCGCACACACGACAAGCACCACAACCGCACACGTCCGCTACTGCTGTCTGTGTCTGTTGTTGTCCGCCTGCGAAACGTGTGCGGGTTGGGGAGAATTTGATGATATCTTGTGTAAAATTTCGGTAAACGAGGCAATCGCTTACTCTGTTGTGGGGTGGACTGCTGCTGATTGTTTGTTGTTGTGCCAGAGCCAGCCAGAGCCAGCCAGAGCCGCAGAAGACACGCACGCACCTACACCCCCCGACACACACGCACACAGCCATGTCTTCGCCTCGGAGCAATCACACAGGAGGTACTTCGAGCGAGCAGTGTGGTTGTTGAAAAGACCTTGTTGTGGCGGGGGGGGATTGGTGATCGTTGAGTCGTGCCTTCGCGCGTGTTTGAGTCTTTGCTGTACCTTTGATCAATCGCGCCTTGTGCCTCTCGGCTGAGGTCATGACATGGCATGGCACGCCATGAAGTTGGCTCCTTGCTCACCAGCTACGGGTTTCCTTGGCTTGCTCCTCTGTTGTAGAAGGTTCATCGTCAAGACCGAGCTCAAGGTCATCGACACGTCGATCAAGCTTCATGCGCACGCTATCCCGAACGTGCGTTCCTCCGCCCACAACCGTGTTGAAGAGCTTTCAACTTTTGCTGTTGTTCTTGAGAGAGAGAGTGTGTGTGTGCATGTGAGTGAGTGAGTGCGTGTGTGCGTGTGAGTGAGTGAGTGTGAGAGTGTGTGTGTGTGAGAGACAGAGACAGAGACAGAGACAGAGACAGAGAGATAGAGACAGAGACAGAGAGATAGAGACACAAAGACAGAGAGAGAAAGAGAGAGAGAGTGTGTGTTGTGTGTGTGTGTGTGTGTGTTGTGCTTGATCTTTCCGTGCACTGCGCCTCTTCCACGCGGATGTGAGGGAGGATGGCCCCCTGCCATGTGAATCACACCACTTGCATCGCACCGCACATCAACACACCTCCCGCCACACGCCAATACTCCTTACAAACGTCCCCGTCTTATGCTCCTTTTTGGCTTTGGTTTGGCAAATGGCAGATTGTCGC